CTAGCCTTACTTTCTTGGCCTGGTGCCAGTTACAAGGCTCGATCGGAGGTTCAGGGTCCGGTACGACCCTAGTTATACGGGTGTCTTCTCCGTATCGACTCCAAAAGGAGGCAGTGTCCAGGGTACCGAAGTGGTAAGGGTCCCGGAAGTGCCACATAAGGCGTCGGCCCAGTTCATGGGACTGGATCTCCAGTAGCGCCGGTATGGGGAGCTGATGTTCCACAAATTGTGCGTGGAGTACGATCCGCTCTTCTTCCCATTCGATGATCTCCTCTTCTAAGGCTTCGGTTAGGTTAATTACCTCCTGGCATTCTTCCCTTGCGGCTCGGATCTGATCATCCGTCCTTGCGCCGACTCGATCAAGTGCGAGTCTTATGCCAATCGTCCGGGTTTCGAGGAGGTGTCGAATGCCGGAAGACCAGGTTCGGTACCTTTGATTAAGTATACCAGAGGCCGATGCTTCTGGTATCGGGATAGACTTTAGTATCCCTCGGACTGGTTCCAATCGGGTCGTCCGTACTTTCGCCAAGTATTGTTCGATGGCGTTATGGATCTGCAGCTCCGTTACGAGGCTTCGTTCGGTATCCGAGCATTGCGGGCAGACCGGGGGTCCGGGGTTCATCGGGTGATCAAGCCGACTTATCCGAGCCTCATTCGCTGCCGTGCCCGATGCCTCTGGTATCGGGATAGGCTGCACTACACCCGAAGATGGGTTCCGCTGACCCTCGTTGGGGGTCGGCGCCCGGATGAAGACAAACTTGGAATGCAAGTAGTCGCATCCAAGAAGTACAGGAACGTCCGAGTCGTTGGGTTGGACGTGGAAGGTATGGGGACTGGTGAATCCTTGCAAGGTTACCGGTACGGTACAGCAATGGGTCACCATGAAGGCGATTTGTCCGCCAACACCGCGTATTTTGGTGAAGTACCCCAGGGATTCGAGTTTAAGATTGTTGGCCCGGCAGAAACGCTCCTCTATTAGGGATGTTTCGGCTCCGGTGTCCAACATGGCCGTGGTTGTTACCGGTCCAATTTGAACTTCATGTGTCCATGCCCGGACCACCTTCGGTCGTTCGGTGGACTGTAACGGTTGGATCGTTACTTCTCGGATGGTCACTTCGACCGGAATTAGAGTTGTCGTTGATCCGCCGGGGACACTATTGGTGTCTACACGCGACGGTAATAAGATTCTGTCCAGCCTCGGTGGGTCTACTCCGTCTTGTGGGTTGACCTCCGAGGGTCGGTGTGGACTTAGTCGTTCTGCCGGGGCTTGTGAGCCTGGTAGCCCGGATGGAACTTCCATAACCGAGTGATTCGCCTCTGGCCGGTTAGCTACTCCGTCCATCAACGATTCGGCGGTTTCCATCGGGTATATCCGGCTTGCTATCCGTTCTTCCATGGATGGTTGACCTTCTCGTAAGGTTGAGAGGTTGTATTGCATGTTGAAGAACGTGCGCGATCCGGTTACAGTTCGTGCCGGTTGTCGCTGGAAGAGGTCCGCTTCCTGCTGCAGACAGTAGGCGGGTACCTGTGCCTCCAAAGGTACTGCTTCCCAGTCTTCGAAGTACTCCGTTACTTCGTCGGTCGGAGCCTCCGGCCGTCTACCTGGTTGGCCTACCAAGGACGGTTCAGGCGTCATTCTGACGTCCTGCGAGGTTGCGGGTCGGCGTCCCGATTCTCCGCTTAGCCCGTGGCTCGTAATGCCTAATTGGGCACCGAGCCGTCCGGGCAGCCTGGTGACGTTTCTCGTCCCGGCTGGTCGGGTCCGGTTTCTCCGGCCGACATCCCCGGCTTCGCCTTCTGGGCCTGGGGGTCCGGGCACGTTCTGTGTCCCGGCTGCCGATCGGGTCCAAGTTCCTTGGCCGATCCTCCCAGGTACCTGTTCTGGTCCGGGAGCCGCATTTTCGGCGTGGCGAGGTTCGGGTCGATTCTCCGAGTATCCGAACCGGGGATGTTCGGTGCCTAGTTGGGCTACCGTCCCCGCCGCTAAGATTCTAGCGGACTCGCTGACCGTTGCGGAGGCTAAATTCTCGTTGAGGTTCCGAGTTGTGTCCGAAGGGTTATTCCGGTTAGTAGGGTTATCCTTATCCGGTGGTTCCGTTGGATGACGGAGGTCGAATGAGTCACCGGAGCTCATCGACCTTAGGCGTTTCCCTGGGATGTACCCGGGACAGGCCCGCCAATTGCCGGTTGGTATCCGCCCGGGCCCCTATTGGGGGCCGGGGACGGCGGCAGTTGCGGCCGTTGGGCTGGTGGCGGGGTTGCCAATGGGGGTCGGCCGCCGTTCTGGGGGTTCCCTCCATTTCCCTGGCCAGGCTGCCGGTTAGGGCTGCCTTGGCCGCCGAATCCGCCGGCGTTCTGCTGACGGGGGCGCGGGGGTGGTACGATGTTCGGGTAGTTCTGATTCGCCGAACCTAACGGCCATCCGTTATCGTACCGGTACCTCCAGTCCAGGTACCATCTCCGGTTTGGATTGTCTTCCAGCCGGAGGTTGGCATAGCCACAACTCGCTTGGTTGTGGTTGCCCCATAGGCAGTGACCACAGGAAAATATTCCGTCCTGGGTCCACTGGAAGAACTTGGCTTCCATCCGATCGACGTAGGTTGCCTGCTGGCGGGCCTCCTGCTGTGGTGTCCGAGGCTGCCGCTGCACGTTCTGGGGCTGTCCGCCTCCACCCGCGCGGTTGCCGAAGTTTCCGCGGCCGCGATTCCCGCCGCCACGTCTTCCGCCGGAGCCACCATATTGTGAGGCTCCACCGCGTCCATATCCGCCTCCGAAGCCATACCCCTGGTTCTGAGGTTGGCCGTAGCCGGAGTTCTGGCCGTAGCCCTGTTGGGGCTGGCCATAGCCGGGGCTCCGAGGCTGGCTGTAGCCCTGTTGGGGCTGGCCATAGCCGGAGTAACCCTGGCTCTGTGATTGGCCGTAGCCGGGGCTCCGAGGCTGACTCGGTTGGCCGCTATTTCCATAGGCTGGCGGCGTGACCATGGTCCCTGTTGGGGCTCCATTCAGGTTCATCGCCGCCATTGCCGCCCAAGTCTGTTCAATTTGACCGCGGGGCTGGGGTGGTGGTGTCGCCGGAGGGCTCTGTCGGTGAAGCCCCGGTTGCACGTTCTGGTAACCTGGCGAGTTGGGTTGGATGTATCCGGGAGCCGGTTGGGTCACAGGAACGGGAGTCGCCGTCCTGACGGTAATGTAGTTGGTGGAATTGCCACCTTTAACTACCTGATACATCGGCTTGCCCCGGGTAAAGTCCCGTACGTAGTCCCGGAACTCACGCGTCGTCTTCGGCATTCGAACGTCCAGGGCTGCCCGAAGGATTGGCTCCGTGACGTTCGTCCGCAGGTAGAAGACCGCCAATTCGTCGGTGAGGTTGCCTCGTTGTTTGAGGTTTATGATGGCGTCATAGTACTGCTCGGGGGTCTCTTGCCCCAGCATGTACTTTCTGGTGGTGATGTCCGCGACTGCCGTGACCTGCTTGTCAGGGTCCATAAACCGGGCCGCAAATTGCTGCAGCCAGTAGTCGACGGTCCATCCATTCTCTTCAGGTTCCAGAGTTGACTGGTTCTGGTACCATTCCAGGGCTTGTCCAGTTAGGGCGCCCTCTAGCTCCGTCATAAAGGCTACGTCCGTCATTGCGACGCCGTCAGCCTCCGAGCGATAGATTCGCCGGATCTTTGTGATCCAGCCTTCCACCTTGGCCCCGTCGCCGTTGAACTTCGGCAACTCTGCCCGATTCTTCCGAGCCAAGATCCGGTTGTTCCGCTCTTCGTATCGGCGCCGGCCTTCTTCATAGCCCTCCTGTCGGGCTTGAGCAATGTCTTGCTCATCGGGTGGTGGGGTTTGACGGTGTTGGACCGCCGGCATTGCCTGTTGGGCTACCGGAGGGTTCCAAGCCACCGGGTAGGCCGCTTGCTGGTTCTGCGCAGCCGGGGCGGGTTGAGGTGGGTACGGCTGTGGTTGGGGTTGGGGGTATGGGTTACCAGGGGGTGCCGGCTGGGGCTGTCCAGGTCCGGGCGGAGGATTCTGCGCTCCATACCCTTGGTTCGGCGGCGGGTTTGGTGCCACATACCCAGGCATCCTTTGAAGGACTCTGTTGTGGTCAAGCCACATCCCCGGTGGTATAACCACGTATTGGTCGGCCTGGGGCACCGGACCTATTGGGTCCATATTGCCTTGCCGAGGCTGGCAAGGTCCATTGCCGACAGCGCCGGGGCCAACCAGACCTATTGGGTCACGGTTGTCTGGCCGAGGCTGCTGTGGTGCGTTATCCGGATATCCGGGGCGTACCGGGTCAGCCCAATTGCGCTGCCCTGCCGATACAGGTTGAACTTCGATCCTCGGCGGGTACGTGTTCTGGGAGCCCGAACGTTGTCGGTCCCGGTTGGAATTCCCCGAATTAGGCTGTGAGGCCTCCCGCCGAAGCGTTTGTCGGCGGTCGGAGTCCCATGCCAGATCCGTTTACCGGGGCTCGGGGGTTCGAGCCTCGGGGGTCCGAGCCTCGGGGGTCCGAGCCTCGGGGTTCGAGGCTCGGGGGTCGTCCTGTCCGGTTGAAGTCGATACTACAGGCCTTGTTCCGGTTGAGAACATCGTCGTTGTGGATGTTCCTCCGTAGGCCGTAGTCGTTGTGGTAGTTGAGTGGGTCGGTGCGTTGGGGGTGGCCGTCGAAGTGTTTCGCTCCGGCTCCGGGGCTGTCGGTACCAACGGCGGCCTCGGTACAGGTCCTACCGATGGTTCAGCCCTAAGCATTCCGACCTGGTAGGTTTGACTCTCGAGAGCCCCCGTTTGACCTGTTGGGTTCAGCAGGGGGTTGTCTCGGCGCAGGTAGTCATCAATCTGTCGACATTTGTCCTGCTCTTGGGTAGTCCGGTAGGATGGAGGTTGCTCAGTCATAGAGTCCTCAAGGTAGGTCTTTTCCTCCTTCAGGCACGCGACCTCGATACCCAGGTCTTCTCGTTCCTGGACCAGCTGATTGTACTTGTCGCACAGGCCGGTATACTTGTTGGTCACGTCCGTGGTATATAGTCGTAAAGTTCCTGTTGGTACTTTAGAAGAGAGTCCTGATCGATTTGTAGTTGGGTCTTCTCGGACTCCAACTGTGTGATCCGGGCCCGTTGAGCCTCGATGACTGCGAGATTCTCAACGCGAGCCTGTTCGAACCGGGCTGTTTCGTTCTGAAGATGGGTGGTGAGGGCGAGGATCTGCTGGCCAAGTTGGGCCTGGCATAGCCGAAGGTCTAAGGCTATACCCTCCGGGTCGTTCTGGTTCTCCCGGAGATTCGCATAGGCCGTCCGGAGGAAGTCGAGTTCCGAGTTGAGCTCGTCGATCTCTCCCTCCAGGCCGATGATGCCTTGTTTGAGGTGATGGTTCTCCTCGCGATACTCATCCACCCGGTCGAACATCTTATGGAGTTCCGCCGAGCCAGCCTCGGAGTAGCCGAGGGCCTGTAACCGCTGCTCCAAGTCCTGGCGCAGGGTGGCCACTTCGGCCCGAGACTGCTCCAGCATGTCCTGGAGTCTAGTGACTTCGGCTTGTTCGTGACGGCGGGGCTCCTCAGTTACTTGCAACTGGGCCTCTAACCGTTCAATCTCTTGGGTGAGGTCATCAATGACAGCATTCGCACGTTCAAGTTCGTCAGTGAGCCTCTTGCGCTCCTGTTTGTGCGAAGCCACCGTCTGGGACAGAACATTCTCCGTCGATTCGACGATGTTTTGTCCGGCCAAGAGCTGGTTTTGCAGCTCGTAAATCCGTTGACGGAGGACTTGTGGGTTGTCAATCTTCTCCGGAGGGGTCTTTGTCAGGTACCGCCGGGGTGTGTAGTCCGAGGCTCCGATGTGTGAGCCTGGGTATTGCTTCGGTGACGGAAACCTGAAGCCTTTCCTGCTGTCCGGACGCTCGGTCACCTTATTGGGTAACACGGTTGCGTCGAAGACATCGTCGGTCGGTGATGGAGTTTTACCAGCCCCGAGGTCCGAGGGTTCGAACATCGGGGGTGTGGCCGGAAGGTCCGAGGTTGGCTTTGCAACCTTCGGTGAAGCCGATTTCGACTTCCGATCAGCCTTTGAGGCTTCGATCCGGCTGGCTCGGGTCAGCATAGGTTCACTGCCGGGGGTTTTGGGTTTCGGGGATGACGGTCCGCCAGCCGAGGTTAAGTTAACCTCGGTAACCGAACCCTCAACCTCGCCCGTGGAGGTTGCAACCGACGAAATCCGGAATTTGACCGGGGAAACGGCTTTTTTAGCCGAGGAAGTGGGGGTTGCCGGCCGGGTCTTGGGTGTTCCAACCTGTTGGGTCGGAGTCCGGACCCCGGTGTTGGGGGTCCGAGCCTCGGTGTCCGAGGCTCGAGCCTCGGTGTTCGAGGTTCCAGCCGACTGCAACCTTCCCGTTGAAGATTTGGGAAGTCCCCGAGGTCGGCTTCGGTGAGGTCGAAGTCCGATTCGAAGTCCCGGTGAGGGTCCTCGGGTCCGGTGTGGTCGCCTTCGGAGTCCCCGAGGGTCGCTTCGGGTCCGGCGACGTCGATTTCCGGTTGTTGTCCGAAGATTTTAGGTTGTTGCCCGTTGGTTTGGGGCTTTGAGCCAGGGTCGATGGGGACTTAGTCGGTGAACCCGCCTTGTGGGTCACCCCCCGGGTCGGTGATACCGTACCCTTCGTCTGGCTCGGGCTCATCTGGCCTTGCCTCGGTTTCGGTCCAGCCATGCTGCCCTGTTGGGGCTGCACAGGGTCACCCATGTCTGGTGACGCCTCGGAGCTACTTAGCGCCGGGCTCGAGGCTCCATGGTCCGGGGTGATGGCCGGGAAGAAGACTGGCGAGGCACCTGTTGGGTGCACAAGTCCAGCCGCAGGCTCGGAGTTCGCAGTTTGACCTATTGGGTCATGCAGAACCTCCGACTCAGCCTGTGGTAGCTCGAGGAACGTCCGGTCGTGGGCGTCCTCGAAGCTATCCTCCGGCGATTGGGTGAAGTCGTTTGCCAGGATCCGCGCATCCCGCTTCTCCTTGGCCGACTTAGTCGACTGGTTCGACTTGCCGGACTTACTCGATCGGTTGGAATCCGACGAGTGAGGCTCACTACCCGGGCCGGCATGGCGGAAGGTGTACCCGCCTGCGTTGTCTCGTCGGGCGTAGCCTTGGTCGAACTTCCGTTCATACGGGTTCTCTCGACCGGACATCTTCGGTGGTGGCTCTATTGGAGCCTTGAAGTAGCCTCCGGGTTAACCCTTCAGCCAAGAAGTCAGACTATCCCTATTGGGGACTTGTCCGAAATTGATGAGGCTTTTTGCCTGTTGAAGGTCCGAGGGTCCGGTGGGGGGGCAGAGGTCCGGTGGGGTGTGGGGTGATGGTGTAGGTGTGCTTGTACTACTTGCAACTCAGTACTGTTGTCAATACAGGGTACAGCTTACGTACGTCCTATACTACAGCACTGACCGCTATGACGTCACACACCGTTAAGTGGTCTTGCAGATTACTGCCTACGTCACGATTCTGCGCGCCGCGTGCAAAATTCCAAAAAACTATGAGTCACTACGGGCCTATAGCATAGGGAATCTCCCCGCTATCCTGATTGGTCAATTATTATAATGTAAAATCGGCCGTCGTGACGTCACAATTATTTAAATTTTTGAATTAATTATTTTCCGCGTTAGAAAAATTCCAGAAATTCAGGAAAAATTCAGGAAAAATTTTCTAGCCGGCCAAAAATTGATTTAGCCGGGGGAAATTAGTTCCCTTAATTTTCTAAAGGTTCAGAAAGGTCGTTAGCCGAGGCTCAGAGGGTCTACACCGAGGCTCGAGGGTCCGGCCTAGTAAGGCTGGCTAACCCTATTTTTACCCGTTAAAGATGTTTTTAAGCCCGTTTCTCCGGGTGAAAATAAGTTTTAGCCGGCCAAAACTACTTTTGGTCCGGTGAAAATAAAAAATGCCCGGCTATATCGGGTCTTATGAGGCTCTACGAGGCTTACCGAGGGTCAGTTGACCCTATCTACCGGGTAAATCCGCGTGAATCCGCTGGTTGATTCGGTGAATCCCGCGCTGGTAAAGTTGCGGGTGCCACTTAAGGCAAAGGCGACCCCGATTGATGAGGCTGAGAGGGTCCGCGAGGGTCCGTGCCGTCCGTTCTGTCCGGGGATCCGCGGGAACCGCTAATCAACCCGGTCAAGTCCGTCCGAGGGTTGTTTCCGCGAGGAACGTTCCGTCCACGCGCAAGGAGAAGGGTCTGCCGAGGCTTTCTGCCCGCAAGAGAGAGAAAAGAGACCAGACCGTTCTGGCTGGCGGCGATCAGATGGGGATGGGAACCGTTGGTTCTCCCCTTTCTTCACGTCGGCCGTACGGATGTAGGTCTACACCGTGGTCTCGAGAGGTTCGCAGAAGGAAAAACTCAACGATCTGCTATCATGTGACAGCAGGCGAACAAAGGCTCACGATAGTGAGAAGGCTTTATTGTGGATAGCAATAAAGTACAGAGAACCAAAACACAAAGGCTCGATGTGAGCTGTAGAATGTAAATCACCGAATGTCAGCTAGTGAATGAAAATGAATGGCACATCGAGCCATAACATGGGAAAAAGCCTAATGCGGCACTGGGCAGATCCAACACGAGCGAACGAACGCTGATAGGCCGAGATGTGGAAAGGAGGCGTGGCTCCGCCTACATCGAGGCCGATGATTGGCCGAGACGAAAGGCTGGGCGGAAAGCTGCCTGAGTCGAGGCCGATCTAGCGCTCGACAGCGAGTGCGACTCGGTGTGAGTCAGCACACCGGAAGCGGGACTGTCGCTGGCTGCCTACTCGTAGGCTGCCATAGCGACTGGCCCAACACGAGACATAAGTTCTAACGCGGCAGCGTTGCATGTGTGTAATTGCTCATTGCTATTTTGCAGAGAATACTGGAGAACTGAGCATGACTGACCTTTTCCACCCGATCCTAGCGGATATTCTGCTTCATTTGGACGTTATTACGCAATTACGTATCAGCCGGTAAATCCACTGGGGTGCTGATAACAAACAGTACCCTGTACTCCTGTTTATAATCTACACACCATCTGAACATTTTTCACTCGCAGGGAGAAACCAGGGATTTTGCTTATAGACAGTCTTAACAGCTAGAAAGTGAGGCGGCTCCAGCTTTCTTCACTCACATACAATCCGTTTAAATTTGTGAACAGTAAATGTTAGCAGCCATACTACAGCAAGTACACAGTTCTACACAATCCCACTCTTTTTGCAGCAAAATGTCCAGATGGACTGTATAATGGGAGATGTCAGTTGCTCTGTGTAAGACTTACGCGACGCGCAGGCGGCAGTCGGGTAAAAAAACACGACGTCACGGCGCGTAAGCAGGTAAACGATTCGATTGGCAAATCAGAATTCTGGGATCGGTTTGCAGATTACCCGTCCGTGTAACCGCTGCGCTTCGACGTCGAAGCGCAACCGTTACTCAGATTTAACGGTAATTGTTACCACTGACCCGAGGGCCATATGTACAGTACCTATATGTCATGATAACATAACCTTTGTTACGATTTCTGCTGACCTGGATATGTTGGGAAACAGGGTTTGCTGGCTCTGGAAGAATCTTCTGAGCGAATCCGTAGTCAACCGGCACATTATCTTTGAAATCCCGCCGTTTTCTGCAACGAACCCCTCGAACGGGCACTTCACCCGAGAAGAGCACTATGTCGTGTATAAGCTCATAACGATGCTGGAGCAAACAGTTACCCGGTGTACACGTACGTTGGCCTTTCTGGATCAAGAAAGGAACTACAATTCAACCTCGCTGCTGGTTATCTCGTTTCCCTGGATAATGTCTGCTGTTCACGAGGTTCTACGAAGTAAAACTATTCGACTGCAACGCATAATCACCAAGAACGGCCGGGATCCCGTCCGTTCACCGGGTTTCACGTGGTTGGGTCTCGAACGAAATCACGGAAACAAATTCGAGTGTCTGACGCTGTCGTCACTGACGACGGTGTGCAGTGAGATGCTGCTAATCAACTACACCGCGTCCAATCCACGTTTCATGAAGCTGTCGGTGATCTGTTTATTTAAACACAGCGGTGCCCCGTGGCCAGCGAACTTGCCGTACAGCAGTAATATGAGCGACGACACCCACCCGAATGCCGCGATTCCGTTTCTGCGCTTCCGCTCCACGGAAACTGCCGCTGCACAGCGCCGGCGCATTTTAGCCGCCGTCAACGACATCTGCTCGGCCGTTAGTGAGGAGGACTACAGAAAGGTCACTGCGCTGCATGCTCGCTGGCGGCAAACGTTGGCGTATCCGGATGAGTGGACCGGCATTTGCATGTTTTTGCAACTGTAAGCGCTTTCATGCGGTTTGTATAGACGCTTTTACTGCTTCGACGTTTTTCCCATTTCGGACACTTCCACAATATGGATTCGCGTACCGGACATTAGATACCTTAGATACCTTTTTACAAGCACTAATTATCACGTATTCAGTTTTCGAAAAGTTGCGGTTTTTGAAACAACGCAGCAAATTCCGTGTTTCTGGTTTCCAGTATGCGAATCCATATTACGGAAGTCTGCCGAACACGAAAAACGTCGAAGTATAGAAAATGCTCACCCGCTCACCCATCGGATGACAAAATCCACGGCCTTTTTGACAGGTTTTGCCCGTTTAGCGCGGACGACAGTGCGCAGTGTTGGGATGCCGTGGATCTGCGTGAGCTCGACGTTTCCACTCTTAATCGGTTAACCATACTCACCTTGGCCGGATGCTGCGAGGCCTAACGCGTCAAACAGCACAGGACCGTTTCCACTTTGTATTACACTTAGCAAGTTTGTCAGAATGAATTTGAGTTTATAGTTGGTTTTGGAGCAGAGTTTTTCCGACTCGCGAATACATTTTTCATACGTCTTTGGGTATGGCTTTTGGCTATAAAATTTACTAGCATCTGTGGTTCGGTTTGAAGGTAAGATAGGCGTTCAATAAAGGATCCGATTTCGGGTTTTTTTTTCAGCTTGAAAAAGTCTAGGTCTGACAGGTTTTGGCTTGCACCTCCCGGTTTCACAAGGAAATTTTATTATTCTGCAATCTGCACTACTTCTATAGCAAGAAAACGCTTTAATACAATATATAACAATCTGCACTACTTCTATAGCAAGAAAACGCTTTAATACAATATATAACAACAAGAGATCCATTCAAAAACGCATGGTCAGTGTATGTACTTACAATTCGCTACTACGAAATTTACTAGTAAGGACTAGTAAGGACTTTACTAGTAAGGAATTTGCTAGTAAGGAATTTACTAGTAAGGACTAGTAAATTTACTAGTAAGTCTTCACGGACAGAAAGAGAAATTTAGAAAATCAAGATACTAAGTGAAACGTAGGAAAGGTTAGTGTAGTTAAATTTAAGTAGGTCGCTGACATATTGTGCGAGGCCATCGTCATTTTCCGTGAACCATTTAAACGGCGGGTGCACTGCATTTACAGTTCTAGTGGGGATGTCAGCACTCAGGTGAATTTGCAGTTTCAAAGGGAAAAATGAGTCGGATTGCCGTATCCATTCGTTGGATTCAGTAAGTCCGCGGAGAACATTATCCGGAAAAGCCTGTGTGACGAAGAATTTTACTCGCACAGGGACGATCACCTCCAGAAACTTATAATATGCGTATCCCTAATCATTTTCGTCCGTGCAGAACTGATGAGAGGTTGATAAAACCCTAGCAATACGTCTGCAGAACGCTCAATAAGAAAAAAGCTTAACTTTTATTCACTCCTGACAGCTGTACTCCCGACAACTGTGCCGTCTCCTTATAGTTGCATCAACTTATATCCCACATCAATACGAGTATTCGCATACAGCCACAAAGCTATAAAAACACACGCACCAATCCCATCACTACATTTCACATTAACCACATCTGCAGGCCACATTCATCCTGCCTTCTCATCATTCCCACTTGACCAGCGGTCAGCGATCTTTCACAGATAGGTAACGACATAAATGTCATCACACACATATGGCCATAAATATCTTCACACAGATGCGGTCATAATAATACGCGTACTAACGAGCATGCAGACCAAGCATATTGGTAATCAGTAATTACTATTACTGATTACCAATATGCTTCGACAGACACTCAAAACCACGATAGCCGCTGTCCACGGTGACTCGGTACAATATTGTCATTGTCAGCACAGCTTTCAAAATTTGGTCTTACGGTGCTAACAGCACAACAATCCGTTACATCTCTCAATGACCGTAGCTCCCGGTTTACCCGGGAGAAAGGAAAATAACCTGGCACGTCGACGAATCGGTTTCCGGATAGCGAGGACACTGCAGATAGTAACCGATAGCAGCTAGGAGATCCATCTTCGATGGTCTTGCACACCTTGATGCTCCTGCAAAACCCGTCAAGCTGAGAAGGTCTGCGCTAGTGCCTGCCTCCGAGTGCCTACATAGAAAATATATATAAAGAAACGAGTGTCGCTTCACAAAGATTGAAAGATAAATTCAAAAGAAAGATCTGAATAGATGATGACTTCACTGACTTCTAGAGCGGTACGAAGACGTACCTGCGACAATATCACTTGGTACTGGTCGGAAGCTGAGAACCGATGCCTGGTGGAGTGGTTTCAGAATCCGGACAACTGTCGCCAGTGGAAAATCGTCGATTACTTGCGGATAAATGCTGGTATAATACGGAGGGCCATTGCCATCAAGGGGCGGAACGCTAAACTGACAGCCGCAGTCCTGCAACCAGACTTCGCAGAACCGGTGAAGGTGGCAGTGTTCCGGAAAGCGTACCCAACGCGGTTGACATTGCCGAGGACGTAGCGGAAATGGTAAATTCCATGATGGTAGAGAGGCATACAAAGCAGACTCACGGAAAAAATCACCGCTGGTCGACGACCGAAGAAGCTGCTCTCTTGGATTGGTTGGTAACAGGTGATAGTTTGGAAAAATGGCGAAACGCTGGAGTTGGAGATCCGTCCGCCGAAATTTCCGTTTAAAGTGAAAGATGGCGGCGTAACTGTGGCATTCACGGGAGCAGTGAACGGGGCTGTGGTGTACAGGAAAGGGAAATTAAAGATGACGCGGATTTAATGAATGGTTGTGCCTTCAATCAATCTTTTGACGAAATCTAACCGGTAAGTGTCGCTCACATTCATACTTCCTATGAGGCGTGATTCGATAGACAGATTCATCTCTGAGTTACTTCGCTGCTGATGTAAAAGATTTTTTTCATTATTATTGCTGTCCAGGTACCAGCGCAGTGCGAACAAGGTTAACTTTCGCAAGGCACGAAGTCGTACATGCGCCAACGGATTACCCAGGTTATCCGTAAAACGTGGGTCACTGGCTTGCCACTGTCTTAACAACTGTAAAAGTTCACAAGAAAGTTAGCTGCCCAAGAGCAGCAGTTTCGAAAGCCAGGCTTGTTACCTGTAACAGGATGTTCTGCGGTATAGAATGCTTGTCTAACCGGCTTTGTAACATTTGAAGAACTTCATTGCTCATCGGTTGGCAGTTATCTTCCAGTATCTTCCTTGCACTCTGCATTTGTTCGTCTTGATTTGTGGTGATAACGTGCTTGCCTAAGCGTCCGATGGGTGAATTGTATGTTCGGCACAATGGATTAGGGTCAACCGTGGTATCCAAGTCCCGAAAATGAAACCTGTCGCAATAAGGTCCAGCAAAAGCTTCCCGGTTACATCTGCACGATTCGGCATCCACAAACATCAGCCCGTTGATGTAGACATTCTCCAGTATTAGTTCTTCACAAATATCTCTCCAATCCGATCGAAACTGCAGAGTCAAGGAACTGGACCACGACCAGACATCCGGTGCCCACACGTACCAATTACAAATAGCGACTGTCTGCAGTTTGATGTTTTTTGCTTTCAGCAAACCAATAAGAATACCGATGGGATCGGAGGAGCAGGACCATTTGCAGCCATCTCCCGATAATATAATTTTTCTAGTAGACTCATTGATATTCTTATCGAAAGCGAAAGCTAGCGCATCGTTCCCATATGTCTGCAGATTGAATTCCATCCGTAAACACGTGGGAGCGGTGGTCAAAATAGCGTGCCAGGATTTACACACTTTACGGCAATTAAGTTGTTCCCGAAAGTCCAGAAAAGAAAATATGCGACGAAAGGCTTCCACGGGTATGCAAGTGTTGATGCAGGGTTGATAGTGGTGCAGGCTTCTCAGTGCTGTGGATTTGAGAGCCTAATAAAACAGTGTGTCAGGTCAACTGTGATAGAGCATACGTAATTATAGCCTGCGTGATCCTGGAAGTAATTTTAATAGCATGTACGTTCAGCTGCATTCTGCAGTCAGATCATTTATATAAAAACGGATTGTGCAACCCGCAAACATGCTGCCGGTGCCAGCTAGCCGGTTAGGTTATAAAGTATAGCGTAGGAAAATATGTAGCACGGTAAATAAGAACCCAGAATGCTATTATACAGTAAACGCGGAAGTGCAGTGCCTGTTCTGGGAACAGTTAATGATATGAGAGACAATGAGGATGTTTTTTTCTGCTTTTAGAGTGGCTGATCGGAAACTATTAGTGCCTGATGTTGTTTTCTGGGCATCTATGCGACTTTTTAAATTCACTCACTTGTATATGTTTTGAATGAAGAAAACACCAAATAAGTTCAGAAAAAAACTGTGCGGAAAATGCATATTAAGCAGTGTTATGGTATTGACAAACACATTTGACAAAAATCCCTAAATTATCGTACACTTCATCTGCTCAAGACTGTTTTTCAGTAACCGCCTTGCGAAGGGTGGTAAGGTTGCTGGGATTATTTTTGGTTTTTTAGGTTTTTATGTTATCCTTATTTCCTATGTTTTCTTATGATAATCTTATTTTCTTATGTTTTCTTATGTTAGTCTTATGTTATCTTATTGTAATGTTATTCTTATGTTTGTTATGTTATTCCTGTGTTTGCTTATGCTCTCGTGCGTTTTCTATGAGCGTTTCGCTGTATGTGTGCTTTTAACGCTGTCTATACAAGTCTGACTATCGCGACTTTTAGCTTTCTTGTTGATATTTTCAGAAGTTTTTTAATTTCCTCTCCTGTGGACAAACTTTTTTGGATTCGCGCATAAAAATTATGTATATAGAAAACGCGAAAAGCTACGTCAAAAGGTCGCGCCCACTATAATGGCACGTATATCATCTATGCTGTGAGATTTGTTATACATATTAAACTCACTTACTTGAAAAAATAGTATACTGTGAAGTGTGAAGTGAGCGAAACTACTTCTGCTGTAGCCTCTTATATTGACCTTACCAGGCAGGATTCTGAACGAAGGCGCTCTCCGCGTTCTTTTTTTCCAACTCTCATGCCAGTCGACAATTCGTTGAGTGTTGTCCGGTTAGCCATCATCCGTAATATCTCGATCTTCGAAAACAAATTAAAACGCCATCGATACAATATAGAGTGACAGAAGCCATACTAAAATTTGTACAAGTGCCGCACTGTTTAACACTATTTATTTAAGTACACTGTACGTACCAGTCTCCACGAGCTTGGCCATCGTGGTTTACGGCTGGTGGTAATATAGATCAGCTTTCCTCTTTCAACCTTCACGAGTATGGTATTAGTTAAGTGCCCATATTCCTGATTCCACCACTGAAAATCTTGTGGAGTGCGCGCCCTGGCAAGAATGGAAACTATCCAGTTTAAAGACAAACTCTGCCGTTTGTAATACTTTCGCTCCAACGGTGGTCGTTCTCTTAAAGGCATGATGCAACTGTGTCCCACCACTTCCCTTATGATTTTCCCGTGGCGTTGCGTCTCGACAAAAGCGGATGTGTAAGACGAACCCGCGATCACTCTGGCCGGATACCAACGAAATGCTTCGCTCTCTGAGCCTCGCCATAAGATTTGTACAGTGTCCCCCGGGGCGAACAGATAGTGAGGGATCGTCCCAAAACATCGGTGAAAAGGAACTAGCTCAGCACGGTGGTCGGAATATTTAAAATCAACGATAAAGCCTTCCGCGGGGTCCATATCCACTATTAGACCGTGACGGAAAGATCCGTCGACATCCTGCACGTCCACGGCGCCATAATACCACAGAGGGTGGAAGTGACGGGGGTCGCCTTCCGACATGTCTGTTATCGGCTGCCTCTTTACGACAAAGCCTTCCGCGGGGTCCATATCCAGTTACATTAAGTGTAGAGGGTCGCTTTCCAACATGTATTATCGGATGCTTCCTTACGATGTGTTGGTTATAAACGCGAAACAAGCAGTACCAACTAAAAACTGTTCGGCCTAACTCTCGTTTTAGTCATCAAAATGTGGATGAAGCAAAATGTTTCTCACCGTATAATATTGAAAAAAAATGAATATAATATCTATAGTTTGCCAAAGACATCGCCAGCACATTAAAATTTTAAACAACAGTGTTAGAGTATAATATCATCCAATGAGTCTGTCGGCGGGAGTGCTGCAACAACTTCCCCAACCATCCGTACTCACTTGCTTTCCTTATTGGGCCAGTTTGCCTGTCCCGCACAGTGCTTTCAGCTTTTCATCCTGGAGTAACCTCTGAGTCTGACTCCGTAGATTTATCGATTGCTTATGTCGTGAAGTTGTGCGGCACGGAGCGGTTTATCGTGCAATGGACCGCAGTAGTTGCAAATACGTATTACGAGCAATTTTCAAGTATGTGCAGTATTCGTCTGTCGTCTGTTACAATAACTTCCTCATATAACCACCACAAGCCGGTATTAGGCGGTGGGCCAGTGAACGTTACCAACTTCTCACAGTCAGGCGTAAGTCACGTGATTGTAATTAATATTATCACGATATCTGCATACTGGTTGGGCCCTCATTAATTCTGGACTTCAAATTTAGTAGTGGCTTCTTGCTCCTGCAGCTTACTTCACTTGACTTTAGCTTTTGCTCACGCCAAAATCGATCAATAAATTTAGCACTTTTACTCACGTACGTAAACCATTGAAATCCGCATAGACATTTGCTTTACCGCACATTATACGATTAACGTATGCGACCGTGACCTTTTTGTTACTCTAATTTACTGTCTGAACTTTTCATATACGGTAAGTTAGATATTTTGATGTCTGTTCTGAGTAACGGTGAGCTTATTCATTAAACTATCTGTGTGACTAGTTTTTCGCCTAGAACTCACTAAAGTCAAGTGGAACTGGATCGCTGCAGACAGCGTGCCGGCAAGTGCGTGTGTACTTGGTTCTGTGGTGGTTCTATAGGTTCAGAACCAGTGAACCACTAGTGTCCTAACTTGGACATTCTCTCCAAATCAAAGGCGATTTCGCCATCCTTGTTAAGCAAATCATAGGCCGTGAGGGGTGCTACGTAGTGCGCTGCTTTGTACAATACATATAGTTATAGGTGTCTATTAGGTACCAACAACTACGTAGCACCGCCGTCCGTACCAGCCATATATCGCAACGATGAGTCGTAATTGTCCACGAATTAATCACCAACAAGCGAAAAAAATCATTAACACCCTTTACCTTACAATGGAAAGGCTAAATACAGTTCCGGTATAATATACTAGTGCCGGGAGCCGGGAGGTAAGGTGTACGAAGTGGTGCGCAACGGTTCTTCTTGAGCATATACATCAGCAAAGCTGTTCTGCTTTGCTGTCAGTTGCTGATGTACTCGTATAATATGCTCAAGAAGAAAGACGCAACGATAAGGCGCATGATCGCATCTTAAAGGAGCTCAAAACCAACCAAAGTGACTCCCGCGCGCTGCCACTGCCGATAGTTCGCGGGATTTTCCAGCCATTTAATAGTCAACGCCTCCTCTTGCGACGTCCACTTGCGGTATACCGCCGTTTCTGCGGCCGCTTGCTACTGCTATCTAGCAGCCCGGGGATTTTCGTTACAATATGCTGAGCGAAAAATTCTGCCCCTCCCCGCCCGACCAGGTACGCCGCGATAACCCGCGCCACCTCCCTTCTGGTCTGCAGTATGCCCGACACCGGATTATTCTTCCCGGCGCACTGCCACATCCTCAGGTTGCTCGGACTGTCTAGCATGTTTTTTTTGCAGCCGCTAGCCCTTCTCCGACCAAGTGCGCTGATTTGCGTTGGACTCTACGGGGAGTCCGTCCGGCAGAAGCGCTACCGGTGAATTTGTCGCATCGTCTTTCATCGACGGATCTGCGCATTCGGCCAGTCTGCTACTGATGCTGTTCGAACATCCGCTGTTACGGAGTCGTAGCCCACGCCGAATTTGTCCGCGACGCTCTAAACCAGGTTAACGGCGTTGCATTCAAAGCGAAACCGGCGAACATTCGCCGGTTTCGCGTTCGTCGGCATTCGTTGTCGATGTTTAAACTTTTAGCTTTAGTCACGCTTTGGCTTTTTCGTTTCCGCTTTTGGTATGCAATCTGACAAATTTTCAACGGGCATTATCGCCAGGAATATCAAAAGAAAACTTTGACCTGTCACTTATCTAGTGGCTGTTTGTCCAGTGCGTATTGCAGTCAAAGATCGGTTACTGAGGAAACCGAAGTACACATGTGTACTTCGGTTTCCTCAGTAACCGATCATTTTCACAATAAATTTTGATCAACCGGTCGCCGACTGGGCGCATGATCTGTTACATGACGAACTGCTGAACACTTAGCGCTATAATATGGTGTTCGGGGGGTCAAAATGATAATGAAAATTATTGGCTATTGAGAAAAATGGTAGAAGCTGGCGTCGAATATTAAACTTCGAGATGAGCATATATATACCATTGCACAGCCGAGCTTTGTCAAATCATATTACTGTTCATTCACCATATTACGGTTTCTTTATGTCTTTACTCGTATGGAATTAAAATATGACAATAATTAAGAATTTTGGAAACACTTTTTAAAATGAACACCATTGCTATTGCAACCGCCATACTTCTGATGGCAGGAATGAGTTCCAGTGCTTTTACTGCTTATTCCCAAACCAGTAAGTCGCCGTTTATACAGATATTCGATAACTCTTGTCCATAATTTTTCACAAGAAAATAAGTGCATGGTTAATTTCTCTGCAGTTGATCTGCAATCCCAATGCGGAGAAACCATCACCGTCCCCTGCCCATCGAACTTTACAGGTTACGCGGGGATCCTGCGCTGGTCGCCTCCACCGACATTTAACTGCTTGGTGAACTTTACACTGGACAGCAACTGTGGTTTTCCCTCTGATCAATACGCTATTTATTTCAATATCCGGTATGCACACTATTTACGCATTGTGTGTTGTTTAACAACGCTATGTTGCCTGACACTCGAAGAATGTTTTTGCACTAAATAAGCTTTCCGGCCCTCGTGTTTTTAAAAATTTGAAATGTATTTCGTAAATTTTGAAAATATAATTTGCGCGCACAAGCGAGTTTTACGCCAGTACAAACACATCTTTTGGCCATACGATGTCTTAAAACAATGGAACAAGTTGACTTGTGGGAATAGGACCACACGCCGGAGTACGTACGGATGCTGACTGTCCGCCTTCCACCTGCAACACAAACGGATAATCTAGTCAATCTCTTCTGTGATTTGCTGTTCTCTTTTACTAGCGATGTATATGATGTCATAACGCGAAGTCTATATAAGTTCGTGTGATGCCTAATATCGGAATCAGTAGTCTGAGATTCACTTCTGAGACTGCTTCCTAATGACAATTTCCTAGCGTTGTGAACTGTGGTGTGAATTGGATAAAGAGACAGCAATACTTGTTCCTTCTGATGTACATGATCGTTCCCGGATTATTGCATAGAATACAGGTTTGCTCGTGACACAATCGTCCTAGCTCTTGCCAATCCTCGCAGGACTCGCGACCGGAAGTTGTGATTAGCTCGTTCCTGAGGGATTCCTGAATTCTTGTGTTCCTGGATCGTTCGTCATTTCTCTACCATAGTTCTTCTGTTACAGTTTGAGAGTACGAGTGCCTAACGACTGACATTTACAGGCGTGGAAGAGTAAAGATAGTTCATGGAGCCTTAATCGGCGTGAACGCTTATACACGACATGGCGCCCACCGGTGTCTTTTAATTTTCCCGATGTAACAGAAAATTATTGGTGGAAAGTCTGACGGTAATTTATTCGTAAAAGTGGTCCGTTTTGAAAGGCGTCGAACCGCAAAGGTACGCCGAAGGAGGTCAGCGTTCCAGATCTGGCCTAGTTAATTTATTTCTGGCGAGCTTCCTCGCAATTGTGAGCTTCCTCACTGGTGAGCTTCCTCGCCAATTAAATTAATAATTAATTTAAATTGGACCGTAGGGATTAAACAGTCGAAACCTTAAAGGTCGGCTGTGTTAAGTAAACCAGTACTGTGTGGGTAACTTCCGGGTTGTCTGCGCAAAGCAGTAACCGCGGTAAATAAAGCGTAATCAGCAGTGTCAGTGCGACTGGCCTGCAGATAAATCAGATAGGGGGCACCGAGCCATTGTCAGTGGCTAGGTGAGATAACGATCTCCAGCAGCTAGATAAAGGCAAGCCGCAAGCGGTAGCCAGAATCAGCAGCTAGAGAGAGTTGACCGTGAAAAAAGGTAAACACCGGCAAACGGTGATTGACCTGTGAGTTTAAAATTACAGCAGCACGCAAAGTGCAGCAGTGTAATTTTAGGAATCATTTGCAGTCGAAAACCGCAAAGGTCGGCTGTTATTGAATTATCACGGAACAATTCAAACCTCAAAGGAGGATTGGGAAGTTATTGTTATTGCACGACAGCAATAACGGTATTTGTAGGAAACAGTAGCACAATCGCTGCTGTACGTATTATTTTAAATAGCCGCAAAGGTTATTTAAAATAAAAAGCTGAAATGTCGGGTGGGTCGATTCCTAAAAATCGCCCTCCACCGCGTAAAATTCCTGATAACAAGGTAATCATCGGAGCGTATGATGGGTCGAGAGCTCAGACAAGGTTTAAATTTAATGCAAAAGAAATCCCGTTGAATTTGATGTACGTGGCTCTGAACGTGGAACCACCAGAAGCACAAGATGCATTCTGTGGGAAAGCATGGATTGAATATCAGGAAATCAGACGGTACTTAAATTCCAAAACGAGATTACCGGCGCATTTTAAACCCTGGATTGAGTACGAAGGGTGTATCCCTGAAGCTTACCTGGACATCACTGATGAGCAGTTTAAAACGGCCTTGCAGGATGCAATCAGGTGGCTGCCAGAATACACGGAAGATTTGAATAGACGAAGAGAGGCGGCTCAAGCTGCACTCACAGCGTCAAAAACAACACGAAAAACTCCCAAAAAACAGGCAGCGAATGAGCGCGTCACGCGAGGTGCCAAGGAGAAGAATCCAGCCCAGGCGTCTGGCGCGATATTGGATGAACCCATATCGGAAGCTCCAAGCGTGGCCGAGAGCCAGACAGAACCCCAGTCGTCCCAGTCAGACAATAACTTGATAGCATTGTCGGCTGCGGATAAAGCAGATATTTCCGAGGGATCTGAAACAAGAGCAAACAAAAGTATTCGTGGTGGAACGATGACATTCCACCCGGCACAATTGAAATTGCATAGCTTTGTGTCCGAAAAAGATTTCGAACAACCAGATGAGGATTTCCTTACTCAAGCTAGGGAAGTCGATGAGCAGTTAGCCGCGGCAGAAACCGATCAAGACGTTGGCTTGATAGTTCGGCAAACTATGCCCGTTTTGATTCAAAGTCTCCGTACTCTCATCGCATCTACAAAAACAAAAGTAGATGAAATGGGTAATACAATGTCCTTGGATGCCCGCGTAGATGAGGAACGAAGTGAAAAATTAAAGTTCCAAAATGATTACAACGAAATGCGTATTAAATTCGAAAATGAACAAACAGAAAATGACAGATTGGCCAACGAGATACGCGTTGCGAATACTAATCTGCACGATTTAAGACAAACTAACAGAAATGCGGAGGTAGCATATAACGCAATGAAAGACGAGCGTGATACCTTAAAAGATACGAATCGAGGTCTGGAAAAACAGTTGGAAAATGCTCAGAGAGATCTTTCAAGCGCAAAAGCCACGATTGATGGTCTCAGTGCTCAGCAACCACCGGATACGGCTAAGCAGATTATCGACTTAGACCAAAAACTAACGAAGGCTTGTAGGGATTTAAACGCCGAAAGAGATGCGCACAAATTAACTAATAAAAATTTAACGGACGCGCAAAACCAGGTCACGAAACTCACCAAGGATTTGGAAGATGAGAAGAAGCGGGCAAAAGATAGCGAGGAATCTCTTCAACGGGAACTCACTCAGGCGAAAATCCAGCTGAATAAATTGTCCACGGTCGGTTCCGTGCACGTATCTAAAGAAAGAGATGAAGCAAGCCAAAAAGAAATTGAACGATTGCAGGGATTAGTGGACACAGAGAGAGAAAGTCTGCAGAAAGCTCAGGCTTATGCTTTTGAAAAATTTGAAAACTGTACTCGCCTCTATGAAGAAAATAAACAACTTCGTGATGAATGGCATCAGAAACATGACCTGATGGTGAAAATGGCGGAAGACCTACAATCTCTGCATAATCAAGTTCGCCAGTATAAAAATAAAAATGTCACTGTCGTTGGCGGGGAACAGCGTTTTGAACCTCCAGTACCTGTAGCCTCAGGAGATGTGGCACATCCCACCCCGCTTCAGTCTTTTGATCATCAGAATTTCCCTGTCTTAAATGAGCAATTGTTAGCGGAGGAAAGTAACCCGGCAAGTATCTTACGGAAGTCCAGGCCAGAAACACGGGTCGGATTTTTGGATACGCATTCTATGCCGCGCTCGTCTTCGGACAGCCAAATTCCAAGGGAATCAGCATCCAATAAGCAAATGAAAAACAGGTCAAATGATCTGCGGCAGGACATATTTAAAAAGGCCCCTGAAGGTGCCAGTCGTCAGACGCATAGAACCGAAAATAGAGATAGCTCAGATACAGAAAATGAATTTGGGGATGACGTACTGTTGGATGATGAACACCGTCGTCCCAGCAGCACAACCAGTAACGAGTCTGCTTTCAGAAATCCTCAGCTGGAGGAATGGCTAATTAAACAAACACAGATATCGGATAGAACTGCCCTCACCCAAGAGAGTGTGGTGGAATTGATTGCGAAGCTCGCGGAAAAAGACGGTGATAAGATGGTGGGAGGCATGAAGTTACTTCCCTTTGATGACGCTCATCCGGAAAAAATCCAGAGATGGCTCATGAATGTTGAACAATGCAGAGCTACGAATAACTGGAACGATGAAACAACATGTCGCAGAGTAATTGGCGCATTCACCGGACCATCCTTTCAGTGGTTCGAAAAATTCTGGAAAGACAACAAAGGAAAATCCTGGGTGGATATCTTCAAGCCAGCTATTGTTGAGCATTTTAACGGCTCGTTATCTAAAGCCGACATTTGCCGGAAAATGAATAACCGTAAATTGGAATATTATGAACCAGTTCGCGCTTACCTGGATAGCTTCCTCCCATGGTTCGAAGAATTAAAAGTATCCGATGAGGAGCAGGTTGAAGCACTCTTGGAGGGCGTACAGGAACACCGACCGGCGTGGTTCCGAGAAATATATAATGCAGCGCCTAAAAATTATTCAGAATTTGAAAAGAAGCTGCAAGAGTGCGAAAGACTATGGAAACGTATGAACAAAGATAAGAAAGTAACTGAATCACAGAAAAGTGCTCCTTCAGAACCGAGAAGCGCTGGCAATAATAATAACTCGAACTACGAAAATCGAGGCGGCCGCGGTGGCTCGTCTCAAAAGGGAAATTATTATTCGAACCGGGGAGGCAGAGGAAATTACGGGAACAATCGTGGTGGATATTCCCGCTCGTACACTGAAACGGTAATTCCTCAGCCACAGAATCCTCAGGCTCCAGTTCAGCCTGTCCTGAGTGTATCCCAGCCGCAATTCGTTCCAGTTCCGGTATACTCGCAGCCACAATTTGTTGAGCAGCAACCGGTGCAATTTGCGCAGACCTTTCAGCAGCCAATCCCCATGCAGGCTCCTATGTCTGTCCCAGTTCAAATGATGAATCCGATGATGCCGGTTATGCAGCCTCAGTTTCAGCAACCGGTGCAGAATCCGCAGTACCAACAGGACGGCCCTATGATTAATAACAATTATAATGGTGGTAATAACCGTGGAAACTACCGGAATAATAATAATAATTATCGCGGGCGCGGCGGTTATAATAATAATAATCGCCAACAAAATCAAAATCAGAATCAGAATTTCAGACTGAACCAGCAGGCCAGCAGTCAGCCTCCGTTTGACGAACGAAATATTCTCAAGGATAAATGGCGAACAAATCGCGGAGTTGAAATTTGTTTCCGCTGTCATGGCCTCCATCCGGCAGCAGGTTGTACGAATCAGTTCGTTCTCCCTCGTCAGTACGAACCGTCTGCAGAATTGTTAGCCAGGTACAATAATCCAACGCAACAAATTAATATGATGGAATTGGACTTACCAGCTGGATTGTCCTCTCCGACGCCGCAGTGTAATAAAATGGAAGTCCAGGATTTTTCGCAATATCCGTTGGCAGATCACGTATGTTTGCTGCCGACGCTCGACGCCCAGGCATGGTATTCTGTAATTGACATAAATTACCAGAAGGTGAAAACCATGCTAGATACCGGTTCAAGCATTTCAGTCATGTCTCTCAAAATGGCTAACGATTTAAAATTAAATATCCATCGCTGTCCTGATCACATTAAAGGCAGAGTTGTTCACACGGCTTACCAGGGAAGACAGTTGATTGAGCCGTTGTTGGTGGTGGTCACCATCCATGAATTTGGGATGGCCTTCGAACACGCAATTCTTGTGAGTTCCACTTTTGATAGGGACCACGTTGTTTTAGGTTTAGACTTTTTAGCTACAAAACCATTTGTTCTTGACATGAATACTATGACTTGGCGCCTCTCGCGCAGACAGCCTAATGCTCCGGCATTCTTCCGTCGCGAAACTCACCTCATGTCCGACGTCATTCGCTCGCATGATTTTGACCCGCTAATTCCCCCGGGAGTTAAGCCGTCTCCCGCAATCCCCGCATTGATGTTAACAGAGCGCATCGGTGTCGCTAAGGAGGCAAAATTTGTCCCATATGAGTCAGCCCATTTGATCCTGGCGAAAGCTGATCCAGAGATTTGTATTTTACACTTACAAAAAGCCAAGCAGGAATGGCCGCGTCCAGTCCAATCGTCACCAGCAATAAAAGTAGCTGATGCTCCAGTGAAAGCGGAAACTAAAGAAATTGTGCCCGTGCTGACGGTGCCGACCAAAAAGGGATCTGACCAACGTGATGAGGAGTTTGTGCGAAGTGTAGTCCAGGAAATGATCAGGCAATATTTGCCGAGAGCAGCTTCCGTTGCTGACGAATCTGTCCGTCCTGCAATCAAAAAGGAAATTAAAGTGGAGAAAAACCCAGAACCGAGTCAAGTTCGTGGGGGAGGCGGTGAATCAATTGTAAATAGTATGCAGTCAAGTTCGTGGGGGAGAGAACAGGCGTCTCCTCAGCCGCCAATTAAAAAGGAAAAAATTTCGCAGCCGTTACCGGCAAGCAGTTCAAGTATCTCGTCTTCGGCATCGGTCAGTCCTGTGCCTACTTCTGGCTCCAGTCAAGTTCGTGGGGGTGACGATTCCCTACAACTTCCGATTCAAATCTCTTCTGTAGATGCAGTGTTGAAGCAGCATCCGGCTGCGAGATACCTGTACATGGGTGTTCTGGACAAATCTGCGAAGTCAGTCGAATGTCTAAGCATGGACAACAAGCTGTTGAATGTCATACCGGTTGAGCGTGACCGCAGAGACTTCGATGAAGTCCACGACTATCCGTCCTATATGGCACGGAATCCAGAATTGAAAAAGTGGATGACGCCGATGGACAGGCCACAGGATAAGCAGTTGTTCCCTACAGAGAAAAGATTTCGTGACCCACAGTTCTGGCGTGAAACCCAACAGCAGTGTGTTGATAGCCGGATGTGGTACAAGATGTACAAAAAACCGTCGCATGCTAATACGAATTTTACTAAGTATGAAATAAATCGGTTTGTAATCTGCGAAGGAATTTTGTGTAGAGTACCTGATCACTCTGGTGCTTGCCCACGGATTTACGTGCCGCACCAATGGCGACAAAAGTTGATAGCCTGCTTTCACGAAATATTAATTCATAAGCAAGCGTATGGCCCGCATGAGAAATTGTATCCGTATTTGGTCAAGCTTTTCTATTGGCCTGACTGCATTATTGAAATTGAGCGTTATGAGAAAAATTGTGATGTATGTCGAAACTCGGTTAATGATCGCCGGCATTTTGAAACTTTAAAACGTACCGAGCAATTACATGCACAAAAAGCTACAGGAAAACGTAAGGTTACCTTTTCTGTGGATAACCCGGCTCCGGCAGGAGAATTCGAGAATGGTAGCTTTGTCCCAGCTGATGGCATGAAGCCCATCAATATCGGCTCGTGTCCGGTCTCCTATGAAGATAAACAGGCGGAGAAGCAAAGGGAAATTAATTCGCAAACAATTAATAACTCACCGCAGCAGAAACAATCTGAGTTCGTTTCAAAGGAGTCCAGAGCGATCTACGATGTCTCAACAAATGTTAACATTAACGAGCAGTGGGAAATCTGGAATGAAATACAGAAGCAAAAAGCGCTGAGAGATTCTGCAGCCGTCAGTTTAGCTCAACCCACTGCCGGAAATGTCGAACCGTCAACAGAAGGTTCGGGAAGGAGTTCTCCACGGCGTAAAAAGTCTAGTTACAGTCGTAGAATTAAACGTGAATATGCGGAAAGAGAAGCTGCAAGTCAAATGTCGGCTGAAACTGTGCAGCCAGCCCCCGTTCAGCAGCAGCCAGTGGCTAAAAACTTACCCAAACGGTCCCAGGACGTCCGTGAATCCAGGGATCCCGGCATGTGTGTAAACGAAAGATGCCATCGAGTTGGCGTACAGGGATGCCCATCTGAAACAGGCACAAGCACAAACGGAAATTGACTCGGTTGAACAGGACATTTACCGGTTCGAGCCTGAACCTGGTCCTATTGACTGCTTTAAAATGGAGCTTTTTCCGGCTTCACCGGTTATAATTCAGCCCCATTCACAGGGAATTATTCGGGCAACGACGTCAATGTCCGATGAGCAGTTTATGGAATTCCAGGATGAGTACCTATACACTCAGCCCTTTCTCTATGAAGGGTGTATCCCTGCAACAAATAAAAATGCGGTATTATTGGATGGCGTTTTAACGCTAAATGAGTACGATAATTGCCGAGTCTGTGTTGTAAACGTCTCCGACAAGCCGCTAGTTTTAAATG